GGAAATGACATAAGCAGTGTACTCATGAATTCAGTGAAGCTATGGTTCTCTGCACAAGAGATACAAAACTGGGCCTCTCAACATTCCTCATGGATGGAGGAGGGACTGGCGAGGCCCCACTCCTTCCACAGGGACTTTAGCAGTGAATAGCTTTGGCACAGAGAGCATCATTTTCTTTAGTGGTGTTTGCTCTACTAAGCAACCTCCTACTTAGGCTCAAGCTAGTGATTTTTCCCTCTTAACAACAGAGGTTTTTTAATTTTTTTTTTTTTTTTTTGTGCACACAAAAAAGTGTCTCAGATTCAGGGGCCTGGGCAATGTCACATACGGCACTTGTTGAGCCAGCATGGACCCAGGACAATTAATCAAGCGGGTGCAGGAAGAGCTAGGAAGTTCAAAACCCAGAGAAGCCAGGTGTAGGTGTGTCTGGGTTTGCTCAGTTTCCAGCCTCAGTTTCCCTCACTGGGATGCTGGGAGGGTCAGGTCTGAGGGTTTAAGATAAACAGACACCGTCTTTTAAAGTGCCTCAGTATTTTAAGGTCTTAGGCCCACCGATTGCCACCCATTCCCTACACTGGCCCCTTTCCCCAGCAGGGGCAGAGAAGACCAAAAAAACACAAAAAACCTGAGAAGCAGGACATGATAGGGGAAGAGGGAAAGCCAGTCACAAACGGTGCTGACCGGTCATGGCACCCTCGGGAAGCTGAACTGTCAGGGTTGTGGTGACGTCTAGAGCACAGGGGGCTAGAGAGTGAGGTTCAACTTCAAACAACAAAACAAAAACCACAGCAAAAACACAGAAAACCCCCATGGATGAATCCCCATTGGCTTCCTGGTCCTATGGTCATACCTGGGGTTATGCACCTGTCTCCCAGAGCAAACACCTAGCTTCTCTGGCTAGCACCCTATGTGTAGCCCATCTGCAAGGGTGTGGAAGAGGTGTTGCACTTGTTGGGGCCCAACTTGTGTTATATATGTGTCCCTAGAGCCTTGGAGCTGCCATGCCTACCTGGCTGGCACACTTGGTGCCCACCGGGAAGCTGATGGAGCAGCGGATTCCAGGGTGTGATTCTCAGGGTCATAAAGACGCCGTCTGATACCAAAGGCAGTCATAGCAGACTGGCTGGAACACGTGCTGGTGTCTGTCTGCAGCCCAATGACACACTGACCGGCCCTCCAGGCGCCATCATGAAATTCCCGTTGATGTTGGACTTTGATGTCCAGACCACTCTGCAGTCCCTGGGTTTTGGCTTTCCCTGCAGCAAAAGGGAGGCTTGCGCCTGTGTCTTGTCCCTGTTGGACAGTAACTTTTATGAAACTCAGTGGGTCACACACAAATAGAACATGAGAGTGTGGGGGGGCTTGGTGAGAATGACTTTGTCAGGAGAAGGATGGATGAAAGAGAGAAATAGGGGAGAAAATAGTTAAAGTTCATTATTTAAATATATGAAACAGTCAAACAAAATACAAACGAAGCACCCATAAAACAATCCAATCTCTTCATCAGTATGCTGAACTTATTAAAAAGAACGAAGTATAGAAGGCCAGGATGAACACCTTCCTTTGTTGTTCAGTCTGTCTCTGGATCTGTCTCCCCTTTCCTATTGTGCTTCTATAGTTTTGCTTGTTTGTATGTTTTTAGACAGGGTGCTGTTTTGTACTCTAGCATAGCCTGGAGCTCATGGTAACCCTCCTGCCTCAGCCTTCCAAGTGCAGGGATTATAGGTGTCAGCGAGCATGCCCAGATTGCTTATGTATCTTAGCAAGGCTACTGAAAAGCAGTGTCGAACCCATAATAAATGCTAGGAAACAGTCTTTGTGCTTAGGATCATGAGTGTTGCTTCACAAAGAGAGCAAGTTAGGGCGCTGCCCTTTCCAGCACACTCTTCTCGTGTCCACTAGTTTATTTATTGCACACCTGCATTTAGCACTTGTATATACAAGAGTCAAAGGTTAATAGTGACGGGGTGTGGCATCTAATTTGAGTATCAGTAACAATGGGATATACAATAAAAATTCACACTTTTGTCTTTTATGTTTTTGGGATTTTTATTTTTTGAGACAGAGTTTCTCTATATAACAGCCCTGGCTGTCTTGGAACTCACTCTGTAGATCAGGCTGGCCTCAAACCACCTGACTCTGCCTCGGGAGTGTTAGGACAAAAGGTGTGGGCTAGCATGCCCCATGTGTATCTAGTTATTTTCATAGTGTAGACTTACAAGTGGCTTCCACATCCTGCCTCATTCACCTGCTCAGCCAGGTAGGCTGTTTGTTCTTTTCAATGGCCATTTCCCTCCCGGTAAACGAGAGTCCCGATGTGGTCTACTGGGCAGGTAGTTGGGAGGACCGAATGACAGATGTTCAACAGGGCCCAGGGCACTGGAACACTAATGTGTCTGTTTTCATGGGCCATCTGTATTAGAACTTGTTCTCCTGCTGACAAACCTGATTCCTTTCTTTTATTACAACTTGTGATAAATTTCCTCCCCATAACCCCAGCATTTAAACAACAGTTGTGAATTTATAGTTACAATCTAAATAACATATGATCTGGTACACTGAGGCCAGAAAAGCCATCTAGGAAGAGGACAGAAGCTCTATTCTGCACGGACGCAGGTGCAGGGCGGGCACTTGGCTTCATTCATCAGAGCTTGCTTTCTGCTCCTGGCTGTTTTTGCCCAGGAAGGTGGATCCTGGGCTGTTCAGGGGGAGCACCTAGCAACTCGGCTCTCCTCCTTCTGCTGACTGTGACCTGGCAGGTCACCTTTCCTCCATATTTGGCTGATCTTCCGTTTCTGGGGTGTCCCTTTCCTGCAAGCCTTTGTTAGCTATTGTTCCCCTTGCACAGCTAAGAACACAGATGGGAATTGCAACATGGCGACAGTCTCTTTCCTCACAGTCACACGTCATCCAGTTGTCATTCTCTAGGGAAGGACTGCAGTTAATCACAGCTTCTTCAACCCCTTTCTTTAGCCTCCCAACTTTCTGCTTATAGAAGCAGTGACCAACAGTCCCTTTAAAGATGGCAAATGGTATAAAAAATACAGAGGAATAAAAATCCGTCAACCTTTAGCTAGAGGTCATCACCTTGACCTTTCTTCCTGTTTATTTAAGGACAATGATAACAGTTGTGTGTTGTGAGGAATCTAACCCAGAGCCTTGAACAGGCTAGCCTTGTCCTCGACCATGAGCTATACCTCCGCCAATAATAAACGCTTCTGTTGATTATTTTAAGATAGCTGGGAACATTCTATTCATACCATTTTATCTTGATTTTCCCCCCTTGTTTAACTATCATAATACTTTTCCTTGTGAAAATGTTTACCTCTTAAGCAGCCCATAATATCTCACTGCTAGCTGTGCCGTAAAGTCCTTACTCTCTGTTTGGACATTTGCTTTTAGGTTTCTGCCTTATGGATACAATGTTATTATAATTAAGAATATATGTCTAAGTAACAGGACTTCTGTGGGTAAGAATGTCTTGCCCCAACGAAGAACAAGTTAGCTTTTGCCAACATTTACACTTATTTACTAGGGAACTTCTTAGGAACACAGTAACTACAAGCTACTATTGATTGCTATGTATGTTTCTCTCCCAGGAACATTGGATGACCTTTCAGCCTGATGTGTGATGTACAGGAGAATGTCTTGCTTCCCTCAGTTCCTACAAGCAGGTGGTATCAGTTCTGGAAAAGAAAGCTAGGACTTGGGAGATTAGGGGAGCTCCATGACACTGAGATACTGAGCTAGACCCTCGGGCCTGGCAGGCTAGGGAGACCTGTGTCACTGAGCTAGACCCTTGGGCCTGGTGCTGGTGAATTTTCTTTTCTAAGATTTTGTCCTTTTCTGTGAGATATCAGTCTAATTCTGAACTTTAGCTTTTGAAAAGATCCTGAGTTAGTCCTTTCATACTGGGTCATGTCTACGCAGCCTATCTTTTCTGGGATTGCCAATTTCGAGATTTCCCTCCCACAGGTTTACCTCTGTTTTGGCGTGGGGGGGGATAAAATGGGGGGGACAGGGTCTCTCTATATATCCTTACCTGTCCTGGAACTTACTAATAGACCAGACTGGCCTTGAACTCACAAAGACCTGCCTGCCTCTGCCTTTCCTGTGCTGAGAATTCCAGAGCTACTATTAGGATGTCTTCAAAAACGTGTTCCTTATTTATTGCCCACACTCCACCAGCGCGCACAATGCAGCCAGCAGGCCTTGAGGCCTTTGTCATGGGTTTGCTAACCTAAGAGCCAGCAGTGTGCAATGAACATCTCTCTTAAGGCAGGGGAGGGGTTGACAAAGTGTACCTTGTTCCCACTCTGCACACTGAAAAAAAAATCTCTGCTGCCAGCGAGAAGAGGGTGGCAGCTGACAGGAATTTTGTTTTTCAGAGCCGTATTGTCCTTGTCTGATGTCCCCTCGGACCTGGCTAGAACGCACAGAGGGCCACTGTACCACCTCAGGAGTGTTTTTAGACGATGTGCTTCATGCAGGCATTTCCAAGGCTCCCAGACTTCATCAGGTGGCCCAAGGGTGTGTGCCTCAGAGCAGACTCGAGTCTCCAAAAGAAAATGAATAATGTTGGGAGAGAGACGAGTCTCCGCATGCTCTAAGGGACACAGCCAAGTGCCTAATACCATTTTGTTCTTACAGGTGTTTAATTATCGGCTTTAGACACAAGTCCTCAGAGAAAAAAAGAAGAAGAAAAAGAAAAGGCTAGTATAAAGCCTCTCGAAATTATCCTCAGCCTCCTCGACATTTTCCAGACTGGCCTTGTTTTGCTCGGCTCTCTGAAATGCCTGAGTGCGGTGAGGCGTGGCTTTGGCACAGCTGTCTTTGTTTTTTCCTGACTTAGTCGTTCAGGCCACAGAACGCTGCACTCTGGCTGTTTGAAATCCCGACTGAATTTGGAGAAATTGTGTCTTGGCATCTGGCCTGTTTCCCTAGAACATGATGTGATGTTGTCAACAGGGGCCAGTCTTTCCACTTTGTCTGTCTCCTGCCCAGCACTTGAACATTCCATGGTCAGTGAGACCAGAATGAAAAGGCACGCTTGCCATCCTTGCTGTGTTTCCTGCCTGACTACATAACTTTTACAATGTCACTTGTGGATAACTTGATCAGATTAGGGCGAATCACGGGGTTGGCCAATAGCAATCGGAAGGAGTCTCCAGCGTCACTTGTTGCATTATTAGGAAATGCATCCGGATAGACCTGCCCTGTGCATGCTCAGTGCTGATGTTCCTCTTTGTCTCTGCTGTCTAATTCACGAGACGAGATGAGCGTGGATTGTTCGAGCAATGCCAGCTGCCCTGCCCACAGCATGGAGGACGAGCTGCCGGTTCAGATGGAGGGCCACGGGCCCCTGAAGCTTGTTTTCACAGTGGTGTCAGCCCTGATGGTGGGCCTGGTCATGTTCTCCTTCGGATGCTCGGTGGAGATTCGGAAGTTGTGGTCACACTTCAGAAGACCCTGGGGCATTGCGGTGGGGCTGATTTGCCAGTTTGGGCTCATGCCTCTGACTGCGTATCTGCTAGCCCTTAGCTTCTCTCTGAAACCCTTCCAAGCTATTACTGTCCTCATCATGGGGTGCTGCCCTGGGGGCACCATCTCGAATGTTCTGACCTTCTGGGTTGATGGAGATATGGATCTCAGGTAAGACACAGTAGGGAAGCTGGGCAGGGTGTCCCTGTCTATGCCTGCCAGTCAGGGACACCTTTGTGATGTCTGGGTGGTTCTGAGTGGGAAGAGTCTTGGGCAGCCCTTCTCAGTTCCGAGCTTGCTCTGCTGCAATCAGTCTCTGCTTTCTTGGCAGCCTTTTCTATCCTGAGTCATGCAAGGGACTTGGTTCATATGCAACAACGATATTTCCTAAGCATGTTCTCCTTCTATGCCCATTGGCATCTCTGACCGTAATTCCCAGGACATCACCAATAGCCCCTATAGCCGATGATAATGCTGGTGATGGTAGTAAGATAAATAGGATGAAGCCCATGTGGTTCTGGTCTTTTCATTTTGTCTCTTTTGGCCACATTGCTCTCAGCAGTGTTTCCAGAAAACCCTTCTTGTGAAGCAACATTTTAAACGAGTGCAGAGGAGTCTGGGCAGTTGACAGATTGATTTAAGGAGCAGTATGGAGCTCTGAGGATGACAACTTTCTTCTTTCCTTTCCTCCTTTGGGTTTAAGTCAGAGTTTATGTCTACATATGAGGCAGATACAGGGCTCCAGGAGAAATTAAGCTTTCATTTATCCACACTGTAACGATGGCGAATGAATCACACAGTCTTGAGGTCAAATGTTTTGACGAGAAGTAGAAGAATATTTGAAGAAAGAATTGATGACTCAGTATTGGGGAAAATCGAGTTAAAAACAATGGTCTGACTGGTTTTTTTTTTTTTTTTTTGCTTATAAACACACATTTACATCCTGCCTAGGGAAAATGATCCATATAAATTTAAATCTTTGCATGTGTATGCCACTTAATTGAAACTTACTATATGATGAATGAATGAACGAATGAATGAATGAATGAGTCAGAATTGATGGCTGAAGGGGGAGCTGAGCTTAGTGAGTCGGCTTCAGGTCTCATTTCAAATTCTCTTGTATGTACTGAATATTTAGTGTATTGAACAGATTTCGCCTCTACATTTTAATTACAGATAAGTGATTAACTTGTATGGCAATGCCTATTTAGTTACCCACTTATGAGAGAGAGACTTGAGGAAAAGTTCTTGATAGTTTAGTATCTCCACTCATATGCCACAACTTGAAGTTCAGTGAAGCTGTCCACTAGCGCTCACACATCAGCAAAGAAATCTGGGTCCCGGGATTTCTGGAAAGAAAGGAAGCTAGTGTTCATAGGTACCGGGAAGGCCTGGGCTTTATCTATCTCTTGGCTTCTCAGAGTCACCTCGTCAGTGACCTTTTATTATTCTGGAAAAACATTCAAGTTGAAGAAGTAGCTCAACAATGGCCACAAGGAGTAGAGCAGAGTTCACGCTGGAGCGGAGCTCACATCTGGTTCACATCAGTTTGTAACTTAGGCAGTTTTTTTCCATGACATTTGGCAACGCAACCACATCGTCTGTTTGGAGTCTGAGCCGAAGTCCTTAGCAGGGTTTTGAAACACTTCTGTTCTGGGAAAGGGAATATTTATTGCCAACATCCTTGGCTCATCGGCATTGTCATAGTAACACCAGTGGACAGATGTGTGTGGAAGACAAAGTGCGTTTTGTTTCTTGTTACCAACCCTATCTCTTATTTATTTATTTTTTTTTTTCATTTTATGGAGACAAGGTCTCACATAGCCCAGGGTGGCTCTGAGTTCCTGATCCTTTTCGCCTTCAATTCCCTAGAGCTGGGATTACGGGCGTACACCACCGTGTCTGGCACCAACTCTGGCCTCAGTCAGCTTTGTTGTTATTGTTGCTGCTTTTGAGACAGGGTTTCTCTGTGTAGTCTTGGCTGTGCAGGGACTTTCTTTGTAGATCAGGCTGGTCTTGAACTCAGAGATGTGCCTGCCTCTGTCTCCCAAATGTTGGAATTAAAGGCACATGCCATCACTTCCAGATTAATCAACTTTTAAACTAAACTGAAAAAAGGGATTTATTTATTTTAATGTATGTATTTTGCTTGCATGTATGTCTATGTATCACATCACACGCATGTCTGGCGCCAGATGAGTCCAGAAGAGGGCACTGGATCCCTTGGAACTGGAGTTATAGATGGCTGTGAGCTGCCATATGGGTGCTGGGAATCAAACCCAGGTCCTCCGGAAGAACAACCAACACTTTAACCACAGAGCCATCTCTTAGCCCTAGTGTTTACATGTTGATTGTAGCAACTTGTCCGAGAACACATACCCATACATGTGACACGGGCCAGGTACACGGTAGGCGTGCAGTAAATGTTAGCTCTTTCCCTCCTTCCTTCCTTGGCAAGCATTTCACCACTGAGTGCCCCACCCTGTGCTTTTCCTTTTTCTAGAGTTCGATTTTGAGTTTCACAGACACAAGCATTACGGAATAAATTATAAGAATGAAATATGAGTTACTTACTTTTGTATTTTTGAGATAGGGTGTTGCTCAGGCTGACCTCAATTTCAATGTATAGCTGGCTTCAGACACAATATTTAGCCAAGGCTGTCCTTGAGCTGATTCTCTCAGAGTAGGAATTTTAAAGTGGGAACTAAAAGTTAGATTTTAGAAGCTTATGGATCTAACACTAATAAATGCTTAAATCTCAGGAAATAGAATATTCTGTGTTGAGGAGCACAATAATGTCCATATTTGACACATTGCTTCACAACTGATTACCAACATAAAATCACATGGAGTAAAATTCAGCAGCCAATCAGTGATGGTCATTCTGGAGGAAATCTAAGTGTGCTTCATCCCACATCTTTATTTCACAGATGGGAAAACCGAGGCAAAACTCTTAGAGATGATCCCAAGTACAGTTCTGCGTGTGGTTTTCCACCCTCATACCTTAAACGGGTGTCTCGGATTTGAGCGGGTGTCACACACCGGATGTGACAAGACCAGAGTCTTGTACTGGCACAGAGGCACAGAGTCAAGTACACAGCAGACCCAGGGCCCACTGTGCTTCTTCCCAGGGCCCTGGGCTTCTCGCCTTAGTCTTCTGGTCTTCTCGCTCCTCTAACCTGCTCCTCTAGCTCCGCCCTCTCTTCCCTCTACCAGGCCCATTCTTTTGCTGAGCCGTTCACAACTCTGGCTTCCTGCCATCCTCCACTGTTGCTTCCAGGGGTCAGGCCCTAGTGAGTTCTTCCATGGCCAACAGTAACACCTTCAAAGTGTTCTCTCCACATTCAGACTCTGTTATTGTTTCGTTGTAAATAGATAAAGCAGCCGCCAACTGTGAGCCTCTTTCTGTTCCTCTTTTGTACAGTGAACTTTGTTGATGGTATTCAGTATTCAAAAAAGTAGGGTTCCCTAAGTTCCTCCTCTTCTTCTGGGGGTCTGGAAAGGAAACCAGGAGGGGAGATGCTCAATGCACTGGGGACTGAATGGGACAGAGACTCCCCCACAGCTGAGGGCCTTTCTCTTCCTCTGATGTTCTTTTTTTTAAAAAAATATTTATTTATTTATTATGTGTACAATATTCTGTCTGTGTGTATGCTGCAGGCCAGAAGAGGGCACCAGACCCCATTACAGATGGTTGTGAGCCACCACGTGGTTGCTGGGAATTGAACTCAGGACCTTTTGAAGAGCAGGCAATGCTCTTAACCTCTGAGCCATCTCTCCAGCCCTTCCTCTCCTGTTCTTGCTGGAGTTGGGTTGCTCAGGGATTCTTCCTGCTTGGAGGCCGTGAGGACTATGAGGGGCACCACCCAGTTGCTGTTGCCAACTTCATTGTCATACCAGGAAGTGAGTCTGATGTCACGCTAGGAAACGAGTTTGACAGAAGTGGCTGTTGAGGATGATGCCCAAGTTGTCACGGATGACTTTGGCCACAGGGCCTGCTGACACCCAGCACGAACATGGGGGCGTCATCTCAAGGGACAAAGATAATGATTCTCCTGGCTCTACCCTTCAAGGGGGACCCAGCCTTCTCCATAGTGGTGAAGACACTTGTAAAATCTCACAACATACTTGACACCAGAATTACTCCATTTGTTATTGGAGGGGTTTCACTCCTGGAAGAAGGAGACAGCCTTCTCATTGATGACAAGGTTTGTTATCTTAGACTTTACTGTGCTGTGGACCTTACCGTGTGTGAAATCATACTAAAATATGTAGACCCTGTAGTTGAAATCAACAGAAGGGTCACTGATGGCAACAATATCCACTTCCCCGTGGTGAAGGCAGCTCTGGTGTCCAGGAGCCCGATACGGGCAAATCACTTCCCTCTGACCTTTACCATGTGTCTCGGTTGAGACTGGCAGGCACTACCCGAGATGTGGCTCTCCCTGGAAAGAGAAGGCAGAGGGCCCGGTCTCCATTCTTGGAACTGGGAACGATAACACTTCCATCTCGGCATGGTGCCGTGTGTTCACGGTGCTCACTGAACTGGCCAGGTCCCCGCAGCTCTCCAGGTGTGTTCCCAGGAACGTCTTAGGTGCAAGTGGCCTCCGGTCCAGATGAACTGCTCGTTGTTCCCTGAACACACCCTGGTTTGCCCATCTCCGCCTGCCCATGTTCTTCAGATGCCCTCTGGGTCAGCTGGCCTGATCGGTCTGCTCCGGTCATAGTGTGAGTCTCCCTGACTGGTCTAGAAAAAACTGCCTGCTATGTATGAAAAGATTAGACACAGTGTGCCAGGGCCTGGCCGAGCAGCCAAGCGTTCTTGACTGGGCCCTTTCAGGTGGTTGGGATTAGTTAGATGTGGACTGATGGCTTCAGTTGGAAGACAACTTGGTTATTGCCCATACATGCTGCTGAACTCTGTCTCTGGTTGTGTGTGTGTGTGTGTATTTAGACTCACCAGATCTGCTAGTGGGAAGCATGTGAGACCTGGGTTGGAACCTTACACACCATCTATTCCGCCATATTCCATCACCAGTGCAAACATCAGGGCCAGCCTGGGCTCAACCTGGGGAAGCTGATTCGCTCCCCTCATGGACTGGACGACAAAGCTACATCGCAGAGAACACAGAGAAGGGATTGGTATCATTTTCTGCAGTATGCTCTGCTTG